TTCTCCCGATGGTCAGTACTTAATTACTGGCAGTGTGGATGGATTTATTGAGGTGTGGAACTTCATAACTGGCAAAATTAGAAAGGATCTCAAGTATCAGGCGCAGGTTTCTCTTTTAGCCTTCGTAAAATTCATCGCGATTTGATCACACCTGGTTATAGGACAATTTCATGATGATGGACGACGCCGTTTTGTCTTTGGGTTTCAGCAGAGATTCAGAGATGCTTGCTACTGGGTCAATGGATGGAAAAATCAAGGTTCATCGATTAGCCGTAGTCATGCGAATGGCTCTTTTCATAGTAACTCAGTACGCAGGTGTGGAAAATACAAACAGGCCAATGCTTGCGGCGTTTCGAGAAGGCACACCTGAAGGGAATTACTTGTATACAGTTTTCCAAAGATAGCTCTCAGCTATTATCTGCATGTTTCGACCATTCGATAAAGTAGGTGCGGTTTTTTCTTATCCTCTTACGCAGTATTTTTTGCAGAATTCATGGGCTGAAGAGTGGTAAAGTGCTTAAAGAATTTCGCGGACACACGTCGTTCGTAAATCAGGTTATATTTTCGCACGACGGGCATCATCTGATTTCTGCATCTTCTGATGGCACTGTTAAATTATGGAATATTAAGGTAGCTATACCTGCTGGAGAAACATCTTCTCTAGCATGCCGCGTTGTCATTTTTGAAGTCTCAGTGTTGGTTTGGCTACTTGCCTTTTTTGAAAATGTTTATTCATGTGTATGTTACAGTTTTTGCTACCTTTTAGCGTCAAGTTTTTCATAAACATTTAAATGCAAAATGTCATATCTTGACCTAATAGTTTCTTTGGTCTAATGTTTATACAGGTTAAGCTCTTAGTTATGCGAACTTGCGCATTACGCGTTTGGCTACCTTTGTAATTTTGTGATTGGCCATTTACCCTTCAGCAGAGCTAGAGTTTTCTGTCGTTTGATATGAGTAGTTTATTCGTGCTTTATTGCCCTGTTGTCGATACAGCAAAACAAACGGTTTCTGGACAACGAAATACCACGTTTTGTTGGCACACCTCCAGCCAACAAATTGTCCTTATCTCAGAGACCTTATTTACGGTATAGTGCAATAAATGCTGATATTGACTGCTATTTTCGGGCAAAAATGTGGTATACTGCTACAGCCAGGAGCTAACGCCAACTGTGCAGTGAATTTGGTATCTGAGACATGAGCTGAGATGTCGGTTAGAGACCTGTCTGCCTGATCTGTTCCATCGCGTTGTGAGTTTTGTGCTCGCAGTGTCTGTCACCGAATCTGAGCTGAGTGTTTTCAGGTGATTTACTGTAGTTAAATATGATTTATTGTCGATGTGGTCATTAAATCTAATGTCTATTGTACACTAGTAGTGTACAACAGGTTCATTGACAAATTTACGAAAAATTTAGAGAAGATTACTAGTTCGATGTTGCTTTAAATTGTCAGGCAGAAGTATGTACATTAACACTATGTTTCAGTCTTTCCTATACTTGTCGATAGCACGTTAATTATGCTTTTAAATGAACGGTGTGCAGCTCTTGCAGCCTCCTTAAAAACAGGCAAAAACAAGGTAGGCCGAAAAATTGTAGGCACGCATTTAAAATGTCAGCGAGGATTTATGCAAATTTGGCAATTTGCCATTATGAATTTACTGTTAAACTAAAACTGGTTTGGTCGATAACTGTAAGGTATAGACGCGAGTGCTGAGCGAAAATTTAGTAGAAGAACCGGGTCAAATATAAGCAGTACAGAAGGGATCATTAACAACTGCTTTGCTTTTAGAACTTACGCGTGTGATATCAAGCTTTATAGTCAGTTTCAGCTGATACACAACCAAATTGTTTGCTGTTTGTTTCGTACTTTGTTACGAACAGTTCTTGCACCGCCCAGTCGTTTCTGTCGGGGACGGTCGTAATTCGGCGTATTGTTAGTTTATAGTGAGCAGTTGTGGACTCGCTTAAACAATGGAGTTTTAAACCGCATGGCATGGCACTGAAACGGTTACAGGAAAGTATAGTCGTGTCAGGCATGAAATTCTGTCTATTAGATTCGCTAAAATTGTCGCCATTGGTGGCCAAAGATAACTGTTTAGTGAAAACCGGAAGATAGTCAGATCTAAGAAAAAGGCTTGCGAGTAGCGCTTCGCCATTTCTGCGTATTCGGTAAACTGAAGCTCGCAAACCGTGTCATAGGCGCCGAAACGTGAAATGACAACGGCCTGCAAAACATCGAAAGTAAAAGTGAACTCTAGCTACCGATCGAAAACAGGCTGGTTTTTTCTGACAGACTGGTTGTTATCTGCGCTGTCAAGTATGTGGCATCACCGGAGCTGCGAAGAGCTCAGAAGGAAACATTGTGATCCTCGACGAAGATATACTCGAGGGAGTACTTTGAAAATTTCTGAAATGAACCGCTGCAGCGATAGTCCTGAACTGCATGCTAGAGCGGGAAGTTATTTGGCAGTGCTGAAATGACAGCTGTCATTAAACTGCTGAAAAATAGCTTAGTCACTATGGAAGACTGTCTGACCTGATGTGCTAAGAGGCTTGAATCGCTATGATATTCATTTGCCGATTCGGGTATACGAGGTTGTGTGAAGTTCTCGCAGAGCACCAAGGCGGTGGTAGTCTGTTGTGGTTATTTCCGTATTCAGAACGGGAATCAAAGGTACTGCAGCAGTTACGAAGTTATCTGTATTCTTAGCTTGCCCGATTAAGCCCATGCAAAGTACTTCTGCAGGAAGCATTTAGAAATGGTTCCGCAGAAGATCTGAAACGCCAAATGTGATTTCCGTCTCAATCCCACCGCCGTGCTCCAAAACTTTACTCTCCGGTTTGTCAGAAGTGTTGAGAATCTGCGAAATACGTTTCTGCCGGGAGGAAGCTTACGCGGCGGTAGCCTGGTCGAATATGGGGAAAATGCATAGGAATATGGGGTGGATGCCCAGTAACTGACCATAAAATCTTCATACGGCTGCTCAAGCGTCCGTGTCTGTATTAATGGCAGGAAAACAATGCACTTCATGGTGTGCATTGGTCTCTGTCAATGTAGTGTATTGTCTCCTTTTATGTCCACAGTCGAATGGATTATAGCAGCGGATGCAGCCTACACAAATAAATTACAGTTGAAGAACTCCGACTGAGCCACCACCTGTTTGTTAATGATTTGGTCATGCTTGCTTCATCGTCTGATAATCTCTGCCATTCCCTCAGTCTTTCCTTTGCTAGTGCAGGTGAAGTGGCTCGAATTAAAATCAGCTTCATAGGTGTCAGGGCTTTTCTGCTATCGAGAAAGGTAACTGGTTGTGCTCATCAGGTGAGTGGACAAGCTCGTTTTTCTCCTATTTCGTGTGTGGGTGCTCTAAACACGGCAATGTGGTGTACCGCGATTGTGATCTGCTCTTTATTCAGATTTAGAAACAACAAATTTGGTAGTTTGATTATGTGGCGAGGATGCTGCAAGCGAGGTTCCGAAGTTTTGACAAATCCATATTGAAGACGGCCACGGGGCATGGCTGTTGAATCTGGAAATCTAGACCACGGAGACAATCCGACTGACTGAGTATCAGAACTGCTGAAAGAAGTTCCAAAAGCAGATGTTCTTGCTACCTGATAGGAATAAAGCACATTGAAAATGAATCAGGGTCACTATGAAAATACTTTAAAGGAGTATTGCAAGAAACAATTGTAAGTGCAAACAAGTGCCAGTATATGCTCAGTTGGCGACTTTCTAAACTCCTTGTTGCTTACATTCACAAGAAGATAATCGCAATCGCTAATAACAGTTATTTGTTTTTGTCTACGAATAATTTACATGATGCATTTAGAGCTTATTAGGGGGATAAGCAGCTTTATTTTAATTGAGGTGATATTGTAGTTTTTCTGGTATGCGTCAGCCTGGCCTGAAAGTACAAGCCGCTAAGTTTAAATTTTAGCAATTCAGTGGCATTCCCTATTTTCTGCGTAAACGTTAAAGGAGTTTGGCGCGGTCTAAATGTTTTAACTTAGACGACGGATTGCGTTAGCACGTATAAAAATTTTGGTGGCATTTTGACTGGCGAAACGAGTGTAACAACCGTTCATCTGATGCCCAAAAACCCGGAACATCTTGTCATTTGCAATCGATCGTCGTCAGTGGTCATTATTAACATGCAGGGTCAGGTGTGAACGTTGGTAAGCACTGAACTCTGTTGCAGTCTCTATCTAGGTTGTTCGAAGTTTCGCCAGTGGTAAACGCGAGGGTGGTGACTTCGTGTGCTGCTGCGTCTCACCACGAGGCGACTGGATTTACTGTGTCGGCGAAGACATGATTCTCTACTGTTTTTCTACCGTTTCAGGAAAGTTAGAGAGTACGATGCAGGTAAAATCAAATTTAGCTTCGATACGAAAATCCTCCATTGAAAATTTAAACGAATTCAGGTTCATGAGAAAGACGTAATCGGCATTTCTCATCATCCACATCAAAATCTGATTGCCACCTATTCAGACGATGGATATCTAAAATTGTGGAAGCCTTGAACGTTTTGCATTCTGGTTTTATGTTTGACCTTGTTTTGTTACAAAATTGCTTAATGTAAACAAAAATAATATTATGATGCGTAATTCTGCGTTAGTTTACTTTTGAAACTGTTCATTTTATGTGATCAGCGTTCATTTGCAGTCTTCGCTTATACGACCACAACGCAATTAATATCGCAAACACTAAAATTGCAAGTCCGCCGGAAACAGCGCAGATAAAAATCGTACTTTTGTCAATGCACAGCTTTGTGGCCCTGCTGAACCGTAGAGCGTATGGTGATTTGTTTTCGTTGCGTCTGCTTGAGTCTAAAACATGAACTAATATCGCTTCTTTTCTGTACAACGCACCTTTTGGAGTTCTTTCGAAGTCATCACTGATATCGAAAACTAATAGCTTGTCGCTGGACAGGTCAAGGTCAGTTGTATGTCGTTTTGATTTCTTCGATGTCTGTACGAGCGTTTTGTTCGTCTTCGTTCTTCTCGGCCGATTTTTATCACATCTTGGGGGCTAAAATGTTTTCCAATGCATATTGTGCTCTTGCCAAATGCGGCTATCCTACTGTTAAACCGACGCACGAACCATCACTTTTCGAACAAAGCGTTATTGAACACTGGAAGTACAGTTCAGGTTTATCAGCAAATTTGAATACATTTGAGTCAACGAACGCTTCATTGTTCAGGTCGTTGTACGTCAGTTCAGCGATGAGTAGCTCGTCAATTGCGCATCTATGTTTTATGATGCCAGAAGTTAGGTCACACTCAAAGATTCATATACCCGTCTTCGTCCAGCAGAGTATATTTATTTTCTCCAGACTCGTCGTCCACGAAACAGCTGTGCACCAACATTCCAAACAGATCTAAATCAGGGTAACTTTTGAGCTTGTTTGTTGTAGTTTAAGTGTTACTCAGCTTTAAAGATAATTAAAGCATTAAATTTAATAAGATGATTTAAAGAAGCTTTAATTTGTTATTCAGTGTTAAGTTTGTTTTAATCACCTTCGTTAGGTGTCCATTATTCCCTTATTTCACTTCCTAGCATTAGGTTGATAAAAGTGCTATCATATTATCCGTGTAGTAGGTTGCAAAGCTCATGACTAGAAGTTGATTAGAATTCTCATTCTCTTCTGTGCTAATCCTCAAAGTATTCGAGGTTGCCGTTATAGATTGTCTATGTATGTGCCTTTGAAATTATGCCATCAGATGAAACTGACTTTCTGAGCACTATTTTGCTACGAAAATGTGCTGAACCTCTCTGACCGAGGATTGCGAGAAATGTACATGGTGAAGTGAAACTCAACCGCTGTTTATTAATTTGCGATGTTGTTTTAGCCCCATCATCAACATCTTTGACCGCTTTTCCATTCGAGTCGCGGAGGCAGACGCGTCAGATAGTGCTTCCAACATTCCCGATCCTGTTCCTTACTCTGAGCTTCGGCAGAAGACAATTAGATTCTGGAACAGATTCCTTTCATATATTTGCACCAGGTTAATCTTGGTCGACCCCTGGGTCTTCTTCCGGTCGGTTAGGCAAGAAACACTTGCTTAGCCTTCCTTCCTGGAAGCATTTGCAACACGTGCCCTAAGCTTGTTTTAAGCACAACAACCTTTATTATAGTGCTCTTGCGGTATGTTTTCGCTGCGTAACCGTGAAGCTGTGTGCCGAGTAGCCCCTGACCCTTGTTGTCTGCTAGTGGCGCAAAGTAAATGAACACGTCTATTGAGGCAAAATTTCAAGTTGTTGCAGTTATATTGCCAACTATTTTTGAACTGATGCCAGTTCCGGAAATTTTTTTGCAATGTTTGAAGCAAAGCTAGAAGTAAAGGAATCTTCACTGTTGTTTGCGATGTTTCTTGACTTGTGCCCCAGTCATTAGGAAGGAGTGAAGCTACGACAGCAAGAGTGGGCAACATCTGCGTAAATTCTCTTGCATTTGCGAATGATATTTTATTGCTTGCAGAGAACGAAGCTGCCGCATCGCTATTCTATACTTTGAAACGGGTGTCCTGATCTTGGTCTCGATTAACTTACGGAAGATGAAGTGAATGAAAATTAGTAGAACCATGATTCTAGGTACCGAAGTTGTGGGAAAGATACCAGAACGTCTGTGTTTTAGACGTACATTGACCGCAGACCGACGGATGACACGAAATTGAGTCGCATTGCGTTAGTATTAACAGCGAGTAACAAGTTATTCAAACTGTGGTAAGAGAAAGATGTTGGCAATAGCATCAAGCTGAAAATATAAGGGCTTGCATTCTGAATATTTTTCAGCATGGCTTGAAAATGATAAGAGTCACAGCTAAAAACAGATAACTAGATGTGACGAAAATGAAGATTTCTATATCCATATGAGTGTAGTGATACGGCGGTGTTAAATTCAGTTGCAATAGGGAGATAGCGTATCCAACTAAAATGACCAATTGACTGCAAACAATGTGTCTAAAATGGTGGGGTCATTGCGAAAGAATGGAAGGTAACCTCTTTGCGAAGCGGATATTGAGGGTAAAGGCTGACTTTATACGGCCGCCAAGAAGACCGAAGAAGATGGAAGGACCTCATCTGAATTGATATGACATGAATAGGACAGGAGTGAGCATGCAGTTGATCCAAGTGTGATGCTTGTATAGCACCCGACATCATCTTTAAAGCAATTGGGTTGAAACTCGAATCCGCTGAATTTACTGGCGGTAACAACGTAATTGTCTCAACTCGTTAAATTGTATTAATAGAATGAATGTCAAAGCGGTGTTTGAAACTTCACGTTAATACTCATGCGGTTACCAGCTGTTGAAGGTTTGGTTTTGACCCAACTTCATTAACCACCGAACTTATAATTTGACTCACAGTGAATAGAAAATATATTGATGTTGGAGTATGTTCCTCTGAAACAAACGTCTTGCGGAAGGACGTCTACGTCATGATTCTATGTGTAGAATAGTCCTGTCATACCTGAATCCGAAAGTGTTTTCTCAACGTCACTATTTCAGCGTATGAAAACGTCGCCATTGAATTGGCTGTTCAGATTTTTTAGTTTTCTGTAGAAGTTTACTCACGTTTTCCAAACTTTCTGCGTTTCTGCCAACTTGCAATTTTAATATTATCCTAATGTTCCATTATTTTAAAGTCCTTCATATGTACAGTTGAATGTTCATTGATAATTCTAATACAAAGCACATTGTACTGTGCAAAGCGAAGGCATAACACAGGTGAATTTCTTACCGCTATCACATTGCCATACATGATAGACACGATCTCCGACCTCCGCAGATCGTACACCTGGGCCGTTTATGGAATTTTGTTTGATGCGATATGAGCACGATGGTATTCTGGCCGTATCAATTAAATCCGTGGTTGCCAGGCTTCTGCAACATGTTGATAAGGATCGCAAATAACAGATAAAGTACCAAAATAACAGCTTACCCTACTTCTATACCTGACTTTACTACGTTATCGGCTTCCATAAAGAAACAAGTACATCTATAAGCTTTATCCGTCTTGGTAATGAATGTCCCATGAAAGCTTACTACGACGGTCATTGAATGCTCGACTCCGCGCTGCGGTCCGACCTCAAACCAATTTCGTCGATGAAAATAATACACAATAGTATCATATCTGTCAGCTGAGACGGAGCTCGGCTGAGAGAAGTTTTTAATCAAATATTGAGAATTGTTTCTACTTTTCTTAACCAAAGAACGCCTAGCAATTGTTTTCAAAGTTAAGAACTTGAAAATTGCACGAATCCGTTTAAAGTTTAAATTTTGTGTTGATTTTATTGCAGCGTGATTTCAAATGTTGCACCCCTGTTGATTTAGTCAGCTGTAGGTAGGTCAAAGTGAATTAACCCGAAGGCGAGCTCATCGGACATCTCTGTATATCTCGCACTCTTTTGCATAACTACATTAAAATACCATGCTGTCTATATTCGCAAGTCAGCGAGTTTCTCTGCTGGTTCCACCGAAATACAATGTGGTGAGTTCCTTGCTCAAGGGAATTGGCAGGTAATATCAGATAATTTTCTCCGCTTCTAGGGTTCGAACCTATCGCAGACAACTAGTCCTTCCCTCCCCATCAGCACCCGCAATGGAATTTCATATTTTCGTAGAGGCACCAGTTAAAAGGTAAATTCCTATAAATGGTCCATATCTTTTTTAAGTGTCGTTAAAGTAGTGTGTCGTTCACTCTAGTTGCATAGAGAGGGCGTTGGATAATGCCAGGGCTACATGGTACTTGTGCAAATGCATCTTGCATTGTTTTGCCCGCCAGCGCCACCTCACGCTCATCACTAACGATGCTTCGGAAGGTAGTACTGACTATCTGGTACCATATTAACATAATGTCTTCGCATGCCATAAGATTTAAATGGCTTATAATACATCCGATATCAAATTCCCAGGTTGCCAGTCAAAAAAGTCATCTTAATGCTGCTGTTTTGGATTGACGGTCTTCTATAAGCAAATAAGTTTTAATTTCTGCCCAGAGTTTGTTGAAGTCATTATCGCTGGTGGCACTTTTCACCTTGTTTGATGATATTGCTGCAGTACGGTATTATGGCGCCAATTTGTTAGCTACCATTGCCGAAAGTTAAACCATTTTGCTTACGTATTAGTTGAAAAGTTTTAAATTCTAGGAGAAGTAATCATTTAATGCTCTGTGAGTATTTTGAATATAACATGATATAGTAAGTTAAGACGAATCTTATGTAGGAGCATTCATCCCTTCAAGATGTGACGTTTATTTTTATTGTGGCAACACGTTGCTGCCAGTTTTAAACCTAATGTTGAAACAAGAAGCAGAGCGTAGTATAATGACATTAACTTTCAGTCCTTAGCGCTTCCTATGCCACTACCTTATGCCATTTTACTATTAGTTGTCATTTGAGTTGCAGGAGCCTCTTCACTGTTACGCAGCATTTTGAGAATAAGTAGGTTGGAACAAACTTGTCTCCATTATAGAGTATAACATTGCTTTTCTCAGAGGAAGAAAGAACACAAGAAGATACCTGTTTATAGAGTGTCCAGTGGCCACTTTTGAAAATTATGAATGTTGGATAAGTTATACGACATTCAACATACGCGAGCGTATGAACAAGTTATGATGTATACAGTCGCATATAATGATTACCAGCTCCTGAAGCATCGTTGCTGCTGAACCCGTTCTGATTGCAGCGAACCAAATGATGCAATATGCATCTGGCACTAGAAGTTTTCAAATGCTGTGTAACTATTGCCTGCTGAAATGCCATCCTGGGTAACATGGATCATTGGAGTAATGCAACACGACAGGAAATCTGATCTTGATGGAGTTATGTGTCAAAGACAGTATACTGTAGAGTATCTTCTTATTGAGATCCTCTACTTAGTCAACTAGGATTTGTCAAACGAACCTATATGACCAGTATCTGGCAGGCATAGCTCATGTTATTTGTTGTGAACCACTTCATTTATCATAAACATATAGACCGTTGTTGCCATTGTAATTTAAGAGCAACAAAGCCTGAACAGTAGAGTTGCTCAGATTAATTACTTATACCCGTTTGTACTAACGTCTAGGATTTACATATTATGCGTTGTTCGCTGCGGCGGCAAGGGTGATGAATGAAAAATGTCCCATCGTCTCAAAAGCCATTTCATAAAAGCATGAAAAGCAGCCTTTTCATTTCTGTAATTACGCCTTCTTTGTTTACTGTCAGCAAACCTGACGCTCCAAAATAACTATTTCAAACATTGGCTGAAGAAGTTTAAGACAAACTTTACCCGTCTCTGTCGTAACATGTTGCATTGACCATTGCGTAGTCGATAGTGCACCGAATTAACTGCGTTGCTGCGGTAGGTAGTCGAACATTCAGATTTATTTGACATCCCCTTGACAAATATCCTTCCAGTAAATGGCTGCTTCGTTTCAAACACAATCGTCACTTCGTCGTCTTCACAGGCTACCTTCGGCACTCCTGCATTTAGCATTCCAGCTTTGGTTCAATGTTAGAGTTAACGGATATCTTACCAATTATACCATTTGTCAGTCCCAGCGATTCAGCTCTTGCAGTCTGTAGCTATAAGAGAAAATAATGTACAGTCAGCAGTGAGTTATAATTATGTTACAGATAGGAGCGACATCACCAACCAAGCGATCATGTTCGTGAACGTCCTCTCTGAGTCTAACGAATGACGATTTATTGTTCAGAGGCGAAGGTGGAAAGACGGCTGTTGGACGTAGAAAACGATTTGCCACTCACCTTGGTTGACCTTCGCCGGGGATCGCAACGGAATTTCAGGCTCAACTGGTTCCTGTGTCAAGCGTCCTTGTGAAAACATCGTTCTCCGAGCGTAGGTCAACTCTCCCAGTCTCGGCCGTCGCCATCACATGTCATATTCATTTCTGCCCAGCCTGATGGTTATCTTGTAAGCCAGTCAGGCATTTGTGACCGCTGGTCACTGTTGTCAACAACTGCTTAACGGTTAACGGCAGTTTTCGATGGTGTTCCAACCAGCCTCATTGTGCTGTCATCGTACATTACAGCGATTACCGTATTCTTGAGGCGGTGGCGCAAGTAAATAAGTACCTGTTTCAGAAGGGTCGAGTATTGCGGCAGAGGCCACGTTGTCGGCTTTCAGAATATCCAAAGAATTGCTAACATAACGGTTTCTTATATGCAAAGTTCTGTCATCGTTTGGTGACACGCTTAATTTTTCATACAGAAAATTCTGTGCACTGTTCTTCGGTAAGTTCGTCCGTTGCTCATTTGCAGTGAAAAACTTACAAATGCAACAAAGTAGTTCATCCAATTCAACGTAATACAACGCTTGCCGAAGCAAGAGTGAAGCAACCAGAGCTGGTGTCATACTTTAGAATAGCAGCCTAAAATACTCTGACATTAAGTAGGATTGATTGCTAGACATCCGTCATTCAGTCATCTTCTTCATCTTCCATCGCCGTTGCTCCTTTTGGATCGCGGAGGCAGACACGTCAGACAAAGCTTCCATCGTTCCCAATCTTGCGCCGGAGTCTGAGCTTCAGCAAAGGACAAATGGAGTCTGGAAAACACTCCTTCCATATATTTGCACCAGGTTAACCTTGGCCGTCCCCTGGGCCTTTTGCCGGTCGGATTTGCAAGGAACAGTTGCTTAGCCTTCCTTTCTGGAAATATTCGCACATGTTTGCACCACGTTAATCTTGGCCGTCCCCTGGGCCTTTTGCCGGTCGGATTTGTAAGGAATAGTTGCTTAGCCTTCCTTTCTGGAGGCATTCGCAACAATGCCCAGTCATGCTCATTCAGTCATTAGTGATTTACTGTTTGCCAGTTTGGATGCTGTTGCTGTTGTCATCATCGTCGGAACAACAATTGTTTTTACACCTTGTGCTACTTGTAACACAGAATAGTTGGTTACCAAGTCGATCAAGACGAACTACAGCCTTAGGAGTCTTTTGCATCAGAAAGCACGGCCATTCCTCTCGTCTATTACGGCATGATCTCATCAGTTGTCCTTGTTGTTAGCAAATCAGCTTCTTTCTATATGCTTCTCGGATGGTTGCACCGATGCAATGCCGAGAAAATTTCTTTGTTCAAGGATTTGTGCTTAAAGCAAAATTATCCTTGTCTCGGCATTCAAATTTGACACCTCCAAAGTTCGAGGCCGACCTCTTTGCCACTGCGCCCCATTTGTTATTTTGCTTGCCTATAGTCTTTTCTTTTTTCTCTGCCCAAATAGAAATCATCTTGGCGATACTGCAAAATTCATTTTCAAAGCCAGCTTATTTTGCGAAAGTTATGCAAAGTGTATAGAATCTGACTACCTTTAGCATTAAAATTTCACTGACTCAGATTAAAAGGCGTATAATGAAAGAAATTGAAAACAACATTAAATCATGACTGAAGCATACACAACGCAAACAGTTTGGTCAACCGAGTGAATGTCAGCATCACCGTTTCGAATCATGTCTCATGAGCCTACTTTTGGTTAGAAAGGTGTGAGTTCGGAAGTTCCGTCTATGTTCGGAGCTGTTGCAACGTTAGGATCCAGAAAGCCAGATGAGGTAATTATCGTAATGACCATTTGTGAGTAGCAGAGAGTCGCTGCAATTCTGGCCATTAAGTTTATACTCTTGTTCATTTTGGGGCCACCAGGACTGTTTACCAGTATGCTACTGATGGGTATCACCCTCCATTGTCAGACGATGCATTATTATTATTATTATCATAAGAATAGTAAAATACAGCATGGGCGGAAGGAAAATAGCCCATGCAGCTGTCAAGCATCATGATTAAAATCTTTAAGACCTTTAAGGACACTGATGTTCACATTTTTAGAAAGCCTGGAGATTTAGTCGCATGGAAAAGGTCTTTCACATATTGATTTCAGTGTTGATCTTTCTGCATGGATTCGAAAAGGGTCATATGATTTAAAGTAGTTGGTCGTGGAAAGTGTCGTTGAGTCTGAGATGCGGACCTTAATGAGGGTCTGGGGTTGCTCTTATGAACAACGGTCTGCGCCAAGGCACATTACATTGGTTGCGTTTTACTACATGCCAGGATTGGCTATGAAGCGGTTGTCATCCACCCCACAAATTGTGCTGGAGTGCCAGAATCTCTTGTGGGTTTGTTGGAAACACAGTATGGGAATAAAGGCCATGCTCAACAAGGCAAACGGAAACTCTTCCTTCATCAAACTAGAATGCCAAAGCAATTCTGCTGCAGTTTAACACTATTACTGAAAATCATTAAATAGACTGGCATCACAGCCAAAGATTTAACCACGAAAATGATACTGCTTCACTTATTGAAACTTTAAGGAAGGACCCAGAATGGCCTGAAAACAGTTGTGCGAGTACAATCTGTTCAAATAAGATTTTCAAACACTGCTTACTCGTTTTCATTAATATCACCATTTCCAAAAATATAATGGAAGTCAAACCTTTCACCGACGTGTGATACATTGACAAGACAACCACGCCAGACTGTTCATTAAAATATTTTATCGAATAAGTGCAGCAGAAGAAAATTCTGCAATATCCAGTAGCTTAAACTATTTCATTTCCGTAAGATGGTATTGGTGAAACGTCATTTATTTTGTACGACTTTCTAATGGCCATAGCTTCTGATTAATATGGGTTCTCAACAAGACAGCTTCATTTGGATTCCAATTGGGGAAAAACTGCAAATTCGTTAGCAGTTCAATGTCACGAATTCTGGCAGTATTCACATAGGCGTAGTCATGAAACGATTTCTGAAATTTGAAAATCACATGAGCACTTTCATTTTGTAACTTACGAAGCAGTTAGTTCGATTGGCCAAATGTGGCAGCGCGAAAGACAAGACGCTTATATCGCCATCACATGAATCTGCAGACCATATCCCAGAACAGCGAATGATAATGACATAGTAATGTGAAGGTACTGGTAGACCAGCCAGCAAAGTGGAATTTCGAAATCTATCATTCATCAATCATACAGAGAGAACATACTGTTTTCCGACTAAGGAACTGTCTGCCAAACCATCGTAATCATAGTCGAATATGGGACCGGCAACAATGTGCAGGTTTCCATAAAGGGTAGCGTACAATGCTATAGTGCTGAGCAGTGGTTGCCAGTCATCTAAAAATTTCAGAACAATAACGAAGATTGTCACTGAAATTCTAGGTGAATAATTTTGCAAATAAATAATTCTTCAGGTTTTTGATTCTCAGCACATAGTTATATACATATTTGTTTCGGTAATTCATGGTTTTGGGCACGAAATGCAGCAGATGTAAACAATTTAAGGTCAGCGCGTTTCGCTGCACAAACCGCAACATGCAGGCTGGACTGAGTACAACTGATTGCTTGGAGGCAACTATGTCCAACAATCGAACAATGCCAATTTTTCAATAGGCCTATCAGATACAATTAAAACGTTAAATTGACTGCACAAAATATAATGTTCACATCACAATAAATCAGATCTTTGTATTTTGACCAAATTTTTAAAGTTGGATATTTCACATGAAATATCTGGAGCATGAACGGCCAGATGTCTCAAGGTGTCACAAGATACCAATGAGATGTGGTTTAGGGTCTATTACAAGACTGGCAGAACTTTGAGCGACATTTTATAAGAAAACTTTATGCCCATTAATAACACGGAAAGTGTGTAAAACGTTGTCTACGAACTTCAATGCAGAGAATGCGACAAGGTATACATTGGAAAGACCAACTGGAAATTGAATATCCGCATAAAAGAGCACCTAGTTGCGGTCCACCTTGGACACGTTGACAATTCTGATATTGCCAAGCGTACGATTACTGAAGGGCATTCTCGCAATCAGACCAATGTGTCAGTTGTAGACAAAGACCAGTCTAAATTAGATTGGCTGATAAAGGAGTCCTTGCATATACTGGCAATGAAAAACCGAATGTGCAACGAATACAGATCTTCCGTTGTCATCCGTGAACGCTGGGGGTGCAATCACAAAACTGATACGCGAATTCGAGTCAAAATGACAAAAGTCCGATTTATTTCGATGTAACGTTATACGTTGATCAGTCAGTATAATAAGTCTTCACTGTATGTGATGAACCAATTAAAAAATTTGGCGTTGTTCGCTTGTTGGATATATAAATGCTTTCAAGCAGTCAATTGTACTCAGTCCAGTCCCGATAATGCTGCGGCCTGTGCAGTGAAACGCGTTGGCATCTTCATCTTCACCTTCCATCGCCGCTTCTCCTTTCCGGTGGCGGAGGCAGACGCGTCAGACAGTGCTTCCAACGTTCCCGATCCTGTGCCAGAGTCTGAGCTTCGG